ATGCATCCAACCTATTCTGTGAAATTGGCTGTATTTTCATAAGCTACAATCAATAAATATTAGCACACAAACCAAGAGAGAAAATGATTGTTTGTATCCAGAATTTGGATTACTATTCATATAAAAGTGAAAAGTGTGAATTTCTTAACATTTTCTTCATACCTTTTGTTGTCAGAATCCAAACAGATGGATAAACAGAAAATTGAAAACAATTGCTCCAATGAGAAAGGTATTTGGGATACCCAGAATGCCATTTTTAACTATATAAAATACATAAAGAGTCACAGTGGCACAGTGATTAGAATGGTTAGGTCTATAATGCCAACAAGCTGGCTTTTGTAGACTCATTTTAATTTAAATATCATAGTTACAGTTAGCTGGTAGCTGCCAATCATACAGTTAATCATCAGCCTTTTAATAAAACCCCAAAGGGCAGATATTAAATATCACCTTCAGTATGGCTGTTCCACGAACACTTATATTATGGAGTCTTCTCTAGAGAACAAAACAATGTTTTTATCGCTGAAGCTGCCTGTAATATGAATGCTAAAAAGAATTAAAAGCTGAAGTCCAACTGTTGTGTTCAGCAGCCTTACTAATTCTATGCAACAAAGGGGAAAATGCAACAAAGCAACTTTATAATTTATACAGACTTCAGCAATATAATCCAGTTTATGGTTATGAGATCAGTTTAAGGGAAAATAGGGAAACAAGTTCTTCAGAACTACTTTAATAAAAACACTTAGGGATGCTTTTCAGAATTTAACCTTTATAGGAAAGAAAAAGAAAAAAAAAAGGCCAAACTGTCCATGCTTGTATTTTTGCTTAAATTTTTTTTTTAAAAGCCTCCTATTTTCTTAATGTTTGAGGTCATTCATTTTGCCCGCTGTTGGCTTTTTGTAAGAGTGATATATGGCATCTCGACAGAGAAAACAAACTGGTGGCAAATACTTCCCTTTTCATTCTCTGCTTATCAGCTTTCCTGAAGTGGCTGTTCAAAAAAACAGAATCCTCCTACAAGATGGAATCTTTGCTTTGTGGGGATGCTTGTGGTTTTCATCCTGCTTTCTGAAGCAAAAAACATTCAGTCTTGAAGCAAAGTAAATACAGCTTAGCTGCACAGAGTTGGACTTGGGAGTCAAGGATGGTATTCAGGAGGTTCTGACCAGTTCTGGAGAACCAGTAGTGGAAATTTTGAGTAGTTATGAGAACTGGCAAATACCGCCTCTGACTGGAGATTTTGCAGTATCCTTCCCCAAGCCATGCCCACATAACCGGTAGTAAAAAAAATCCCACCACTGTTGGAAGTGATGTCATTGTCAACTCGTAAAGCATTTCTATGCTTGTTTTCAAGTTGCCATAAGCAGGAGGGTGGAAAACCCTGAAGGAGCAGTACAGCAATAAAAATCAGAAGTACATTCCATGCTTATCCTACAAAGATTGTAGCCTAGGTTATTTGTTGAGGTATTCCCTGTTAGGAGAATGAGTGAACTCAAGGAAACGTAGTGAGAGTGATGTTGAATAACACCCAACCAGCATACAGATAAACTGAATAGTAAAATATAGGTTTTACTTCCAGTAAATGGGTAAACAAAGTCCAACAAACAGTCCAAATCATACATGGTTAAAGCAGTTAGTATCAGTCCAGGGATAATCCAAAAATGAAGTTAAGTATCATAAACAGAGTTCAGTAAATGGAGTTTGCTAACAGTTGCAAGACTCACAACAATCCAAGTAGAACAATGATCAGGCAATACGGCAAAACAGGAAATGCAAGGAGAGAGAAACCAGGTTTCTGGCTCCATCTTATGGCCATTGGAGGAATCTCAGCCAATTAAAATTACAACTTCTCTTAAAGATACAGTATTAAATTACTATCCTGGTTTATATATTGCCAACCCAACTGTTAGGTGACTATCATTCCTAACACTATTGGATCTTCTGCCTGTGAAAATCCTTCATTGAAGAATGTGATTGATGATACCCAGCCCATGAAGGGGCCTCATTGGAGAATTTGATTTAAGAGACACCCAGGGGAGAGAGGGAAACAGGGTCACAGGTGACCATAAATTATGTATGTTAGAGTTGGCTTTATGAAGGTCAATACCGACATATTGCTCCTAATAAATCTTTTGGATTCTTTTGAATCTTGGCTCAAGGCTCATGATTTAATTAGGGCAATTGCTGGAAACCTGACAGCCATCTCTTCATGGTAGATCAGGTCAAGCGTTAATCCTCTTTCTTCTTACAGATTACTTTTTTGTGTCTTCTGTTTAATCCTGAAGGAAGGAACACAAAGATTAAAATGACTTAAGTGGAAGACAAAGGGAAAAGGAGAAGAGATTGTTGAGATCCCCTCGCAGGAACAGAGAGAAGCCATCTTCTTCCTTGGGCTTCTGTGTCCATTCCCATCCCTTCTATACTATGCAGGCCACATTGACAACAGCTTTGGGAAGGTCCAATGAGGAGACTGGGCCAGCAGAAATCAGAGCAGAGATCCCTCCACTTGCTCTGCAGGACATTACAACTCAGTGGCCCGAGAGGAGCTGAGTGGTAGCAACAGGCAACCGACCCATCCCCACATATTCCCTTGGTTGTTATTAGCAGAAGGAAGCTGAAATGCAATAGAACATGGAGATGGTGAAGTAAGCTGCAACCCTTCTGGCTGCAAATGTGCGCACAACTTAATTTAGCAAAACAAATCACATTCTTAAAAAAAAAAATAAGCAGAAAGGGGAGGGAAAGGTGAGCCAGGATTCCCTTTATAGCAATAGCACTTAGACTTAAAAAGCGGTTTAAAATGCTTTACAGCCCCCTCTAAGCGGTTTACAGATTCAGCCTATTTCCTCCAACAATCTGGGCCCTCATTTTACCCACCTTGGATGGATGGATGGCTGAGTCAACTGAGCCTGGTGGGATTTGAACTGCCAAATTGCAGGCAGCTGGCTGCAGAAGTAGCTTGCAATATTGCACTCTAACCACTGTGCCACAGAGGCTCAGTGGTTATGTTTTACTTGCAAAGTTTTTTTTTAAATGGAAACATAAGGAATGATGGATAGGAAAAACTCTCATGCCCAATCTTGCCACTGAATATCACCAGGAAGTAGCGATCAAATGCTGAGATGGTAAAGTGAGCTGTACCACCTAATGGACTACAAGTGTGTGCATTCTGATTAAATTGCAAGTGCTTCTAATTTGATGAAAATGAATGCCTTTTGGAGGCGCTGTCTCATCCGCACACTAGGTCTGGACCTTGGAGTACCTATGCCTAGAATTGAAGATACCAAGATGGAGATCCCTATCAAAAACTTTTATTCTTCAGAAAGTGACACAATCTCCCTCCAAGCTCGTCTCCCCATCCATGTCCCATGGTAGGTTTTATACAAGAGTTACCATCAGTTACACATCACAAAGTCACACAAGACATTCCCTTTATGATAATTCTTGCCCCTTTATAGTTCTTTTTACCATTTTAAGCAGAAATGCAGTCATTGTGCTCCTAAGCTAACCATAAAACTTTCAGAATGAACACACCAGCAGTACTGTAGCACAGCTTTCTGTAACATATTTCCATTTTCCTTCTAACCGTCTACATGTTCTCATCTTTCCTCTTCATGCCCTTTGCTTTGTCCCATGATGTAGTTGGGGCTACCAGTTTAGCAAGCTGAAGCACTCAAGCTTTTATCGGAAGCTTTAGCCTTTTAATTAAATCCCCTTTCATCCCTTCATTCGGGTTCTGACCTTCCAATTGTCTGAAGCTATACTGAAGCATATGGCTTTGTTCCCTGGAGTGCTTGAGCAATAATATTTCCCAGCCTTCCCCCTGGAAATCTCAGACTGCTTTCACTAGAGGCAGCCGAGATCCAAATTAAGGAGTAGAGAATAGCAGTCTGTAATTGTTACCTTTTTTCAAATTTTTGTAGTTATGCATAGTTCTCAACCGCTCCCCCCACACACACATTCTAGTTCCCTTCTGAATCCTTACACCACTTTCCTAGATCTGCATGTTCAACATCCTGTTGCTTTGTTAGAGATTTGACATTTTATTGTAGACGATCTATAGGTCTGATTACTCCACAGTAAAGGCACAGGTGCAGATACCTTCTACTTTGCTGACCCAAAGGTGCTTTTTCAGGAGACAACTTTTTTTTGAAAATGTTTCATTTCTTATCCAAGAAGCTTCTTCAGCTCTGACAGGACAGTGGGGAATGGAAGAATTTATATTCCTTGCAGACAGCTGGTCATTTGCATCCTTTTAGTGGGACATTGAAGCACTTGGAGGTTTATCTGTGTCCTCAGGGTCACCTCAGGGTCAGTAGTGCTATTGGTTCCTGTAGTCTGTAATTTTTTTCCTCTGGAAATCCATTCCTACTCCTACACCATTCAAAAGTTGTTCATCCCAAATTGTATAGCTAAAAGTCTGTAGAGATTCTCAGTCATCCTGGTCATGGTCGTCTCAAAGGTGCTTTTTCAGGAGGCAATTTGACTTCTATTTTGTTTCTCTTCTGTTGACAGGGATCTCTTTTTTGCACTAATTTGCTTGGGCTATCCTATACTGGATTCTGTGAAAGCCATTGGGAGGGAAACTATGTGGGAAGAGAGGCTATAAAACATTTCTTCCCCATCTCAAACCTTCCATGCTGTCATCTATTATCAAACGATGTTGGAACAGTCCTTCCAAATTATTTGGAGTTTCTACTTGACTCACCAGTTCATCTTTCACTTTTTCAGAAAGCCTCATTTGAATTGGTCAATCAGGATCGTGTTGTTACACCCCACATCTTTAATAAGCAATTTAAAATCCAATACATATAATCTCATTCTTCTGTCCCCTTGCCTGAATTTGCAGAACCCCCTCCATCAGATGGGATTATCAAAATAACTTTTGAACTCTCACAGGAAGTCCTAGTAATTGTTCAGCACTAGGTCAGAGTCCTGATTAATAGGCAAGTTGATTTAACTGGTCATCTTGTCAGTAAGGCAGTGTATCTGAAAATCAGAGGCCATCTTCAATTATTTATGTGCGTAAAGACTGGTGCACAAACAGCAAAATAATGAACAGCCATTGCTCACCAGATTTAGAGGCCATGACTGTTCAGTGTAGACCGTTTTATCTGCCATGGGAGCTAACAGTAGTTACCATCACTGCTGTATATTTACCTCCAGATGCTAATGTAAGCATGGCACTCAGTCACCTTCAAGACATAATTACCATACAACAGAGAGTTCATCCTGAGGGCTTTGACATCATTGCTGGGGATTTCAACAGAGCATGCCTAAAAACTGTGTCCCCAAACTTTACCAACATGTTAAGTGCCCAACCAGGGGGAAAAAACACACTTGATCATGTGTACTCAAATATTAAGCATGCTTATAGAGCAAGACTTCTTCCCCACTTAGGACAATCAGACCATTTCACCCTGTTTTTACTACCAGCCTACACTCCCCTTAGGAAGAGAACAAAACCTAGCAGTCAAACTATTAGATGCTTGCCTGAAAATGCCCTCTCCCAGCTTCAGGATTGTTTTGCCTGCACAGATTGGAGCATCTTCAAACAACAGGACTTCGAGTTATACACAGGGACTGTGCTTTTCTACATGAAGACCTGTGTAGAAAATGTCACTGTGGACAAATGCATGCGGACATTTCCAAACAGGAAATACTGGATGACCAGCGAAGACCAGGCTCTGATCAGGGCCCGTGACCTGGCTTTTAGAGCAGGTGAGACCTCACAGTACAGCACGGCCAAAGCTGAGCTGAGAAGGGGCATCAAACATGCTAAGGAGATATATAGGAAGAAGGTCGAGGGCCACTTTACTGACAGTGACCCAGAGCAGATGTGGAGGGGGATACAGGCCCTGACCAACTATAAAGGCCAGAGCCCAACAAACAGTGAGAGCAATAGCACTCTGGCAGAGGAGCTAAACAGCTTTTTCGCATGCTTTGGGACTACCAAGAACCTGGACATACTGCCTCACGAGGACCATGATGCTGCACCTCTCTCTCTTCAGGTGCATGAGGTGAGAAAAACATTGAGAGCAGTAAATCCCAGGAAAGCTGCAGGGCCTGATGGCATTCCTGGTGCAGTAGTTAAAGCATGTGCTAACCAGCTGGCAGAAATACTTACAGAGCTGTTCAATATATATTTAACTCATGCCATCATCCCACAATGCCTGAAGGCTGCAACCATCATCCCTGTTCCCCCCAAAAAACAAATATAAACACTCTCAGTGACTATAGGCCCATAGCGTTAACAAGCTCCATCATGAACGTTTTTGAGCGACTAGTTTCACAGCACATCAGAGACTGCCTCCCGCCTTCCTTTGATCAACATCAGTTTGCTTATAGAGCAAACCGATCTACAGAGGATTCTGTGGCCATCACACTTCATAGAGCACTGAGTCATCTAGAGAACAAACACAGCTATGTGAGGATGCTCTTTGTGGACTACAGCTCTGTGTTTAACGCTCTCATCCCAGATATACTAGTAACCAAACTGTATAATCTGCAGGTCCCCACCCCCACATGCTCCTGGATTAAGAACTTTTTGACAAACAGACCACAGCCTGTTAGACTTGGCCCCCACCTTTCTTCCACTATTACGCTCAGTACTGGTTCCCCCCAGGGTTGTGTCTTGAGCCCCCTGCTATATGCCTTGTACACCTTTGACTGCTTACCAAGCCACACAACAAACACCATCATAAAGTCATAGTAACAGAATTTTGCAGAGAGTGCTTCCCCTTCCATCTCTTTATCTTTATGTGAACTACACGGGAGCTTGTCTGTGACTTTTATTCATATTACATTTTTCACCGAGACTTCTATTTCACCATTGTATTGGTAGTGGTTCTTCTTACTGCCCCTCAAAGCCATTCCCTCTGTCCTCTACAAGTGTTGGGAATTCAGGCTCAAGTTTCTCCTCATCCACATAGTTCTCTGGGAATAAAATGAGGAGACACCATGACATAACCTACTTACATTTGTCCTACATTCTGCTTGCTCAGAAAATGTGGGTGTCAAGTTAGAAGTGCACTTTTGCTGTTGCAACCATTATCACTTTTCAGCTTGCCAATGAACCAGGGGGGAGGGAAGCGTGTAGGCTCCAGATATCTTGAAGATAGCTGTGAGAGCCAATGACCCTTCAGCAAGTGTTTGTCAAAGCCAAAGACCTTTTCTCATAACAATACAATGATACTCAATTGGACAGTGTAAGCTGCTCTTAATAGGGAGAAGGAGAATCCTATACTTTAATTATGTGGGTTTGCACGGGAATTAGCTAGATCTAGTTTTTCCCTCATCAGTGCGAAAATGATGTACTCAATAAAGATTTGCATTCAGATATTGCATTATCTCGATCGTGCTTGTTTTGGTTGGGTTCATCAGTTGGAACTGATGTGGGATGGGATGAATACATATTAAATGTATGAATGAAGCTATCCCAGATCAGCCTCATTAGGAGCCATGGTGGTACAGTGGTTAGAATGCAGTACTGCAGGCTACTTCTGCTGACTGCCGACTGCCTGTAATTTGACAATTTGAATCTCACCAGGCTCAAAGTTGACTCAGCCTTCCATCCTTCCGAGGTGGGTAAAATGAGGACCCAGATTGTTGGGGGCAATATGCTGACTCTGTAAACCACTTCGAGAGGGCTGTAAAGCACTGTAAAGTGGTATATGAGTCTAAGTGCTATTACTATTAATGTGTTAACTGAAGGTCAGTTATTCTTTGGATGATGTATTTCTTTGAATTTTTTAAAGGAGGCTCTTTTGCAGTTCTTTTTATTTGTTTTTATTTGTTTGTTTATTTGTTTATTATTATTTTGATGTTCAAAGCAGTGCTAGCAACTCTAAGTGACTGCCTGGGCAAGTCCCTGCTGTTTTCTTTGCAAATTTTCAACAATGGTTTGGCATTGCCTAAGGTCTGAGAGTAAGTAATTGGCCAAGGTCACAGGACTAGCATTCATGGTGTCCTAGTTTCTAGACTGATCCTTACAGTAGATCAAACTGGCACTTACTTACTTACTTACTTACTTACTTACTTACCTATTAATTGTTGACTATTATATAATAAAAAATATTGTCATGTTTACGACATGAAAGTATGCATTTTAAGAAAAATATATTTAAAAGTTTTCATGTTAGGGTTACATTTGTGTCTACACTTTGTGGCGTACCCAATATTTAAATGCATACTTTTTTCAGTATTTGGGTTTTTTTTTAAATCAAACATTAAGATAGCAAGGATCTGACTTTGGCATACATAAATTTACAGAGGATTAGAATGATTCATCTATGCTAAATAATAATATGCTAAATACACAGACATGCAAATATATCCTGCTGATGGCTATTAACTGTTTTATGAAACACCAGCCCTGCATTATCTTTATTTTTTATGGTAAATGATTAATGGTGATAAGATCAGAAAAGGAATGAAAAAGATAAATGCATTGCTGTAGGATCCAACTATATCGGGCTGATCTTCAGTAGCAGTAGAACAATTAACCATATTAAAGCCGACTCATCTGCACCAAGCAAGATATTTTTTGATTTTTCCCCCACATCTAAAATACAACGTTGCATATTAAAGCTGCAATTAAATGCAGGTAAAATGAATAATAGATAGTTCCCGTCAACTCAGTTAATGAAAGTGTCTTGAGAAAAAGTATTTAAATCAGGACTAATGCCAGTATGCTAATTGCTTTTGTTTATGCTTTATATAATGGGTATGCACTATAGCATATAATGAAATTCCAATGCATTATTCTTCCCTTCACTGTGAGATATTTGTCGCAGAGATATTGCAGAAATATTCAGAACATTACTCTTTTCAGTAATGTTCATTTCTTGAAAGAGAAGTTGGGATAGGACAAGTAATTGCTGGAATCATTACCAAATTAAGGACTCCCTTAAATATCTACTACTTTGATTGAGCATTCCATAGTCTTTGTGTCACAAACAACTCTGAAACCATTCTTGCCAGTATAAACTTTCCAAGATTTCTGTAATAAAATTCAGTGAAAAAACACTAAATACCAATGGCACAGTTTTTTAGATAAAAGATGTAGAAGGGTACAGGAATCTTGTGAATAGAAGAGAACAGAATAAGTTGAAGGAACTTGGAGGTCTTCTAGTCCAACCCCCCCCTACTATAGGAAACCCTATGCCATTTCAGACAAGTGGTTGTCCAATTTCTTCTTTAAAACCTCCCATGTTGGAGCACCCACAACTTCTGGAGGCAAGTTGTTCTGTGGATTAATTGTTCTGTCAGGAAATTTCTCCTTAGTTCTAGGTTGTTCTCTCCTTGATTAGTTTCCATCTATTCCAGGAGTGTCAAACTCAAGGCTCGTGGGCTGCATCCGGCTTATGGGATGCTTAGATCTGGCCGATGGGGCCAGTCTAGAAATATCAAAGAACCGGCCTGCAGTGCCTTTATCAGCCAAAGCAAGCCCTGGGGGGCATTCTCTCTCTCTCTCTCTCTCTCTCTCTCTGTGTGTGTGTCTCTCTCCCTCCCCCTCTCCCTCCCAATCTATCTCTGCCTCTCTCCATCTCTCGTTTTCCCCTGTCTTTTTCTCACTGTCCCTTCCCCACCCCTGCAATAAGTACACCTCATGGCATGCTGATTTCCCTTCCACACACATGTAATACATATGTGCACACATATGCATGCTGATACAGTATACTGTGTATGTGTTTGTGTGTGTATAGATATATAGATGATAGACAGGACAGACAGACAGACAGACAGACAGATAAATTGAGATGGATAGATGGGTAGATGGGTAGGTAGGTAGGCAAGCAGGCAGACAAGCAGGAGGTAGGTGGGTAGATAGATAGATAGATAGATAGATAGATAGATAGATAGATAGATAGATAGATAGATA